TATACGTGTGTGTGTGTGTTTACGTATGTATGTATATATATACATATATGTAAATATATATATATATATATATATACATATATATATATATATATATATATATGTATTTATATAAATATATATCAATGAATATATATATATATATATATATATATATATATATATATATATATATATGAATATATATATATATATATATATATATATAGAGAGAGAGAGAGAGAGAGAGAGAGAGAGAGAGATAGATAGATGTAGATTTGTATCTGCGTGGAAGCATATATACATAAAACACACACACACACACACACACACACACACACACACACACACACACACACACACACACACACACACACACACTCACTCACTCACACACTCACATACTCACACACACACGCACACACTCACATACTCACACACACACGCACACAAAAACACACACACGCACACAAAAACACACACACGCACACACACACGCACACACACACACACACACACACACACACACACACACACACACACACACACACACACACACACATATATATATATATTTGAATTTATATACACACATGCATATATATGTATTTATTCATATGAATACATATGCGTGGGTGGTGTGTGCTTGTGGGCGCGTAATCATCAGAAAAACTTATCACTATTTCCCCCACTTGGAGATAGCTTGTCTCCATGTTAGGCTAAAGTGTTTATTATCATTGATTTTTTTTTTTTTTTTTTACTTGCACATAATTTAAAATGAAAATATCGAGGCCATCATCATTTGTGGTTGATAATTAGGTCATCTAGGGCTAACGTAGGCGACCTGTGTCCTGTGTCTGGCAACGATGGCACTGCTCGGTCCCCGCAGTGTAGCCAGATCTTCCCCTGTGATAAACTTGATAAGGAATGATATTAATGCGGGTCTGGCGATGGCTATGGACTTGGAAGAGTCTACAGGCCAGACATAGAAACTGGGGAGGGGGGGGTGACACAACTTGGTGAATTTGGAAAAGGATCAAAAATAAAATAAAATGTAGATTGCTATAGGTTAGGGGAGGAAGTCGAAGGTTAGGGGAGGCAGGGAAAGGTAAGGGAAAGGCCGGGAAATATAAGGGGAAAGGTAGGAAACCAAGCACTCTTACCCACCACCTCTCTACTTAACCCCCCCCCTCCCACCCCTCTCTACTATCTTGTAGTGCCAGGTCACACCAATAAGAAGGTGGTTGGAAAAGGGTTGCCTGTTGGCCACTGGACCTGACGATGCCCACGAGTGTTGGTACAAGACCCTCCGTTGAGTGATAGGAGGCAGGAGAGGGGCCGAGGTAGGCGTGGCTAAGTGGGAGGGGGAGGGGAGGGGGAAAGGGAAGGAAAGGAAGAGAGTTGAAGTGTGTAGATTAGGTAGGGCGATATGCCCAGACCTGACGGGAAGTCTGTGTTTGGGGGCGGGAGGAGGGGAGGGGAATGGAGTGGGGAGGAGTAGGATCCTCCAAGTTCATGTAGGCTAGTTATTGTTGACGTGTTATCAAGACGTTATGGGTGCTTGGTTATGTGTCACATATAAAGCGATTTTATATAGACAATATGCATTTTTTGTATATCTGCCATTCTATTTACCAACCTCTCTCTCTCGCTCTATCTATCTATCTGTTTATCTATCTCTCCCTGTCTACACACACAGTATATGTATGTATGTATATGTACATGCATGAAGAAAAAATAATCCTTATGATAACAATCACTCCACTTCCTTTATCGAGCCGAAGGGGAAGTGGGGGTGGATCTTATCTCCCGGTGATGCCCGCGGAGGCTGCTCTACCTGCTCTGATATCGGAGAGTCAGGTATGGGATTTGAGGGGGAGGTGATGAGTAACATGACTCAGGGGGTCATGTGAGTCACGTGGGGCGAAGGGGCGAGTCGCGTGAGTAGGGAACGGGAGGGGAATCAAACGTCGAGAGATACGGAAGAAGATGGAATTATATATAGATAGAAAGAGGTAGGAAAGGGAGGAGATAGCGAGAGAGAGAGATGAGATGCAGATAGCGAAGGGCGAGATAAACGAATGGAAGAGGGAAATCAGAATGGAATTTGATTGCGAAAGCTTAATATTTAGCGGCAGGGGAGAAAACCCAAAGGGACATTGAACTTTTAAACTAAACTCATCTAACTTTCTGCGCGCAATCTTACATTCAGTTTCTTAACTTTTCTTAGTATGTTGATGACATGTCTATTGCTTAACCAATTTATTCTGTCTTGTCCAACATAACTAGTTCTTTAGAGACTTACGATGCTCTGTAGGTATTTTTAAATTCAGTTGATATGTCGGTTGTTCGCGTTTTATGTCATGTTTTGTCATTCACTTTGATTGTTTTCGTATATTAAGCCGACTTTTTCCGGAAACTTGACTAGATTGCGAAAGGGAATGGAAGCCAAAGTAACAATGAATATTAGATATACAGATAAATAATGGAATAAAAAGGGAAAAATACAAGGAGGAAAACC